CCCATGCCCAGTGTGAATGGCGTGCACGGTCCACGCATGGAAGCTGTGTCTTGCCGATGACTTCAGGTCTGCTTCTCAGGGCGTGTGGGCAGGGCAGGGTCCAAGGCTGGCAGGGGAGGGGCGGGCTTCCAACCCAGGCAGCAGTGAGGGGCTCGGCTGGCTGGCTGCTGGGCTAGGAGGTTCGAGGAGAGTTGGCCCCGAGGCAGGAGGAGCTGAGCTGGGGGCCCAGGTGTCTGTGCCCAGGCCGGAGACGAGGTGGCTGAGGGCCTTGCGGATGGAGAGCTGGAGCTGCGTGGCGGCGGTGAAGGGAACAGAGGTGCCATCTGCAAGCTCTTCCTGCCAGATTGTGGAGGAAATAGGGGCCTCTGAGGAAGCAAGAGCTCCGGGGCGGGGGTGGGCCCAGGACACTGTGCCTTTGGTTTCCAGGGTGACCAACAGGATGAAGAGGAAGAGACCCAGATGAAGAAGTCAGAATCAGAGGTAGAGGTGAGAGCTGGGGGCCCAGGGTGGTGCGTCCAGCAGGGGCTGACTCGGCCGGCCCTGACCCTTTCCTCGGGCCGGCAGGAGGCAGCGGCCATCATTGCCCAGCGGCCTGACAACCCACGGGAGTTCTTCAAGCAGCAGGAACGAGTCGCATCGGCCTCTGCGGGCAGCTGCGATGTGCCCTCGCCCTTCGGCCACCGACCAGGTAGTCCCAGGTCCCACCCCCACCTGACCCTCCCTCCTCAGGTTTTGGCCCCGAGCCTCTTTGGCACTGTTTTTTGGAAGGGAAGCCTTGCCTAAGGACCCCCGGAGAAGGCAAGGTTGTTCGTCAGGCGTGCCTCCCCCACTGCCTCCCAGGACTCAGAAGGCTGGAGAGGCGCTGGCCGATGTCGGGCTTTGGCTGAGCGGTGGGCGGAGCCAGAGGCCATCCGCGCAGCCCGGGCAGGGCTAAAGCGCCCCCCTGGCCGTAGGGCGCGGCCCTGCTTGGCTGACCCAGGGCCTGCCTGAGGGCTGTGGTGCATGTGAGGCGGGCTGGTGCCCTGGCCCGGAGGCTGCACCCAGGTTCCCTGTCGGGGTTCTCCTTGCAGCTTCCACCTCCCGGAAGCACCCATGTGCTCCCTGTGTGCTGGTCTGTGTTGGACCCTGCGTGTGCTTGGCCTGCGCTATGGTTGCAGGGGTGGGGCAGGCTGCTGCTGGGCGTGTGCTTCGCAGAGGCCGGCTGCGCTGGGCAGGCTCCTTGCTGTGCGTGGCTGGTGCTGGGGGGAGTCTTCCGACAGCTTGAGGCTGTAGCCCAGTGTGCCTGTGTGCGCCCCTGGCCAAAGGCAGCTTGGACATCCAGGGCCAGGTGCTGGGGGGCGGGTGAGGCCTGGGGGCGGGGGTGGGGGAGACTGACCCTCTCTTGTCCTCTGTCTCTCTCTCTCTGTCTGTCTCTCTCGGCAGGTCGTCCGTACTGCCCTTTCATAAAGGCATCGGACAGTGGGCCTTCCTCCTCCTCCTCTTCCTCCTCCTCCCCTCCACGGACTCCCTTTCCCTATATCACCTGTCACCGGACCCCAAACCTCTCTTCCTCCCTCCCATGTAGGTAGCAGCCTCGGCAGGGGGGTAAGGAGGGCCCCGCGTCCCGGCAGCTCCCCTGCCCTCACTCCCCAGCCTGACTGCCGACCTCTGGTGCTTGCCCCCAGAGCAGGTGCTGCCCGCCTCTTCTCCCCGGCCCTGAAGGGGCACTGGCCCCCAGGGGCTTGGCTTACAGGGTCTGGAGTTGTGGTCTGGCCCCTGGGGGGTCTGGGGAGCTCCCAGCCCCCACCCAGACTCCAGAGAAGAGATGCTGGCCAGGCCCCAAGGTGTACAGTCCTGGTCCCACCTGGCTCCCCGGCCCTCGCTGACCAGCGTGGGGTTTGTTCCACAGGCAGCCACCTGGACAGCCACCGGCGAATGGCGCCCACCCCCATCCCTACCCGGAGCCCGTCGGACTCCAGCACAGCCTCCACCCCCGTCTCTGAGCAGATTGAGCGGGCCCTGGATGAGGTCACGTCCTCGCAGCCTCCACCACTGCCACCCCCACCCCCACAAACCCAAGGTGAGTGAGGGGCCCCGGCCATACGGGGCTGCTCACCAGCGCCTCTGCTGGGAACCCGCTGTGGCTGTGGTAGCAACTCCTCAGGGCCCTGGGCCGCCCAGACTGCGCTGCCCCGGAGATGGCTGCGGCAGGGAGGAGCCTGGAGCGGCCGTCAGGGCTGCCCTCCGAGAGCCTCGGCGTCTCGCGGAATGGGAGTCGGGCCTTCCTCCCACGACTGCCGAGGGGCTTGCAGACACTAGGTAAAGGGGCAGCGGGGCCCCGTGGGTGCTGGAGGGCGCGCTCTGCATGGAGCTGTTAGTGGAGGCTTTCCTTCCGGGAGGTCACCGACTCTTCAGTGCACGGTCAGGGTAGGTAGGATGGCTGCCCGGGGCCTTCCCTGATGGAGCTGGTCATATCTCTCTCTTCCATTTGTGCTGTAACAGAGACCCAGGAGCCTGACCCCGGCCTGAATAGCGAAGGGACCGGCAAGGAGGCCAGAGCTGCAGCCCCTCAGGCCTGGGCTGGCCCCGTGGAGGAGCCCCCTCGGGCACCGGAGCCTCCCCAGGGGCAAGGCAGCCCCATAGAGGACTTCATGTTCATGGCCGCTCCTGAGCAGGCTATCCTGGCTGCCCCTCTGGAGCCCGCCATCGCCGACCCCACCGCAGCCGACACCCTGGCAGCTGCTGCTGTTGAAACCAACATTGCTGCTGCTGACACCGCTGTTGCCAACACCACACCCCCTGCCTCTGCTGGCCTCATTGACCTATGGCCTGGCCATGGGGGTGGAGCCTCCACACCCCAGGTGGAGCCTAGGGCCCCCACGGCACCGTCAGGCGCTGAGGTCACTCTGGCGGAAGTGCCCCTCCTGGACGAGGGGGCTCAGGAGCCAGTGCCACCAACAGGTGAAGTCTGTGCCAACCTCCTCAATTTTGATGAGCTGCCTGAGCCGCCAGCTACCTTCTGTGACCCAGAGGCAGAGGTAGAAGGGGAGCCCCTGGCTGCCCCCCAGGCCCCAACTCTGCCCTCTGCTCTGGAAGACCTGGATCAGGAGCCAGAGCTGGAGCCAGAGCCTGAGCCGCACCTGCTGACCAATGGCGAGACCACCCAGAAGGAAGGAACTCAGGTGGGTCAGGGCAGCCTGGTGGGAGGGTTGGAAGTTTCAGGCTTGCAGCAGTACCGGCCTTTCTCTGTGACCCACATTATTAGGGGGAAGCTTTATTCCATTCCCCTTCCTGGGCCAGCTCTGCTTTTGTTCCCAAGGCAGGTATCTGTTTCCTTGGCAACCACGGATGGAATCACTGGTTGCCAGGGAAACGGACTCAGACCTGGTAGGTCAGCCCTGGCCTGGTTGGGTGGGGCCACAGTGACCTGGTGCTTTCCTCCTGCAGGCCAGTGAGGGATACTTCAGCCAATCACAGGAGGAGGAGTTCGCCCAATCAGAAGATCTGTGTGCAAAGGCTCCGCCTCCTGTGTTCTACAATAAGCCTCCAGGTAGTGCGGATGCGCGTGGTGGGTCGGAATTAGAGTGCGGAGCTGGGTTCAGGTGTGGGCAGGTACCATCTCCCTACAGAGCTGGCACAGTTCTCAGGGGTTGGGGGACACAGCTTTGGATCTGCCAGCCATCTCCTTACTCCCCTCCCTTCCCAACACCGTAGAAATCGACATCACCTGCTGGGATGCAGACCCAGTCCCGGAAGAGGAGGAGGGCTTCGAGGGTGGCGATTAGCAGAGGCGCCCGCCCTCAGGCTGCCCTTGCCAAGGCCACCCACCCGCTCCGGCCGCTGGCCAGACGGCCCGCCGCGCCTGCACTCGAAGCAGCTCCGCCTGGCACCCACTCTGGATTCCGGCCCTGGCCGGGGACTTGGCCGCTTCCCCACCCACAGGGCCTGACTTTTACAGCTTTTCTTTCTTTTTTTAAAAAAAGTTGATAGGAGACTTGTACAGTTGACTGGTTTTCCTCCCGTTGGTAGTTGAGACGCTGTTGCAAATTCCACCCCCTCTCTGCCCGGTCCAGATTGTAGCGCTTAGTCCTCCCTGCTCACTCAGCTGGCCGGGGTGGAGGCCTCCCCCTGCTTGGGGCCTGGCGAGGGGGGAGCTCTGGTGGGAAAATGCCCCCCACCTCTTTTCCTAGTTTTATGTTTCTTGGAAAAATATCACTTTGTACTCTCTGTCCAGGGCTTCAGATATTTTGCACGAATTTGAAAACATGGCAATAAATGGCTCGCCGGCTCTGGCTCCCTGGGACCCCCTCCCTGCCCTTCTCTTTACCTCTGCCCACCTGGCCCAAAGAAAATAGCAGGCCCAGCTGGGGCCCCTCAGCTTCCCAGCCCTTTCCTGCCCCCTCCTGCTGGGCGGGTCCCAGGCTGGAGGCCTTAGGCGCCATTCAGGTCAGGGCTATGGGTGGGGCCCCGGGGCTTGGGTGGCCCTTCCCCAACTCCTCCCTATTTGCTTGGGTTCCTTTTTCACATTCAGTAACTGTTTTTTGGAAAGCACAAACTTCTGTAACGGGTCGTGCTCATGTCTGTTAATAAAGAAATCCAGATCCCTTTGGGCCTCCAGGGGTGGATCTGGGGCGGGCCGCTAGCCCTGACCCCCGTTCCCAACTCTTCCGACCTCCAAGGCCACAGGGGGCACCCTCACCGTGATTTCAGGGGCAGGGAAGGTGGGGACAGGTTAGAAGCAGGCTGACCTCAGGTTTAGTGCTGCATCTTTCAGCCGCTTAGCAGCTGAAAAGCGCGTTCAGGTTTTGTTCTCCGCCAAGGCCCAGGCACACCCGGTCACAGCAGTGGGTATTCCCTCCACTTGTTAACAAACCGGATCACACACCTTTATTATCCTCAAAGTGTAACAAACGGGGTAAGAAATCCCTCCCGCCACACCCCGCAGTCCAAGGGAAGCATTTAAAAGGCCCCGCAGTCAGGCCAGGAGTCCGCTAGTGGGGCCCGAGTCGCCGGGTGCCCCTCTATACGGCTGTAGTCCTCCCGAACAAGGGGATGGAGACCGGCAGACGCCAAGCTCCGTGCTCCAGCGGCTCGCGGCTGCTGAGCTCCGAGTCGGTCCAGCTGGGGAAGACGCGGCGGCCGCGGTCCGCCTGCAGACAGAGTGCAGGGCAGGGCGCCGCGGGCCGCGGGGCGCTGGGCAGGTGCAGCGCCGACGTATAGCCTCGGTCCAGGTAGAGCGGCTTATAGCTGGGTGGCGGCTGCTCCTGTTTCTCTGCGCTGTCGCGGCGGCTCAGAAAGGGCGTGACGATCTTGCGATAGAGGCCGCGCGTGTCCGTGAGCACCTCGCTGTAGGGCGGCGGCGGCTCAGCCATCAGCACTGCCTCTTCGTAGCACGGTGGCTTGGACATGTCCGATTCCGCTGCGGAGTGGGAAACGGTCGGAAGGCGTGAGGCCGCCCGTCCCCAGCCTCCCCCAGGAACTTGGGCCCGTCGCCGAACGCAGGCCCAGCCCGCTCCCTCCGAGGACCCGGGGCCTCCCCGGCGGAGGCAGGGCGGGCGCGTCGGGGGCGAGCCCGCCGGCGGCCGAAGCCCCGCCCACCCCGCCGCCTCCCGCGCGGGTCGGCGCTTACCTTGGCGCGGGTAGCTCCAGGGGCGCGGCGGCACGGAGAGGTGCGGCGGCGGCGGGTGCGGCAGCGCGTGGTGGTGCGCGTGGGGATGCGCGTGTGGCTGCGCGGGCCCGTGATGCAGCAACGGGTGCACGTGCACGTGCTGGTGCGCGTGCGCCGGCGCTTCCAGGCGGCCGCGGTGCGGTGGTGGCGGCGGCGCGAGGCCCGGGGGGCTCCCAGCCAGGCTGCCCTCGAGCTCGAGCGGCTCCAGCTCAAGGGCGCGCAGGTTCTGCTCACGCAGTCGCTCCTCCTGGCGCCGTTTGAGGCGGCGGCGCAGGAAGCTGCAGAAGCAGCACAGTAAAACGATGAGCCCCCAGATGAGCCAGAAACCAGCGAAGCACGTTAGGAACGTGTAGGTGCCCTGGGACATAACCATGGCGGCGGCGCGGGCGGCGGGTCCTCGGCTGCTTCACTGGACACTGGGTTCCTCTACGTGGCCCCGGGCCCGCGCCACGCTCCCAGGAGCCGCCAGCGTCACTCGGGGACCTGCGGCCGGGGGCTGCCCGCGGCGGGGCTCAAGTCGTGCGCGCGCGGGCGGGGGGCAGCAGCAGCGGTGCCTGCTCTTTTCCATGGCGCCGGCGGGCGCGCGGGCGGGCCTCACCCGGGTCCGCGCGGGACCTATGGGACAGACACAGGGCGCGGTGAAGGCGCGCTGCAGCCCCCGGTGCCTTCCATGCCTTCCCTGCCCGCGCCTGTGCCCTGCGCAGTCCCGGGGAAGCCTCCTCAGCTGGAACCCCCGCACTCCGCGGAGCCCTAGTGACGTCACCGAAGACAGTGACGTCACGCCCCGAGGTTTCCCCGGTAGGGTTTTCCCGATCTGAGATGCTGCCGCTTGTGGCTGAGCCGAGGGGATTCCAGGCCGGCCGGCAGGGGGCGCGAGAAGGCCAGCCTCAGCCTCCGAGCTAAGGAGAGGAGCCACCCGCAGCACCGAGAGGGTTTCGAGGCCCAGGGGCCGACCCTGCAGGACGCTGAAGAGAAGCCTTGGTGCGGTTGCTTGGCGACGGGGAAAGAGCGGCCCACCTTCTAGAGCCCCACAGGCAGCTACCCGCGCCCAGCTTCAGCCCTAGGCTTGTGCTTAGCAGCCCCTGGCACTCTAGGTCTTGTATCTGCTCCCACCCCGGCTCTCCAAAACATGGAACATCACGGCCCACACGGCGGCCTCCCAGTTGCCGCTCCTGTGGAGGGGCTTGGGGGGTGGTTCCGGCTGCTAATGCAGGCCACCTGCCTTTGTGCCGAACGCCCGCCCATCGGGCCAGCGTGGGCTGTTCCCTCTCCTCTAGGCGCCTCCGCCCGCCCGCCCACCTGCCTGATCCCCATTCCCTCCCCTCCTACCCCTGAGTATCTCCACAGAGCCCTGCCCTTCTAGCGCCCGGAAGTCGGGTCGCTTCCCTTCAATTCCTATCCCTTTTTGCAGAGGGGAGGAAAAGTAGCTCGTCTTTCGTACCACCTGGTCCCACTTCACTCCAGATGGGCACCTCTCGTTCCAGCTCCCCTCCACAGAGAGGATTGAGAGGGGAACCTTGCATCCTAAGAGGTATGTAGGAGGGAACCCTGCCTGCGGAGTGACAGGTGGCAGGCGACTGTTCACCGCCCCCGCAGAACAGAAATGAGCCCTTCTTGAATGCCTTGCACCCGGGGGCTTTCATACGCAACCCTTTAGGGTAACTGGAATTATTCCTGTTTTACAGCTAAGGAAGGGGGGGAGCAATTAGCTGTGTAGATGGCAGGTGGCGGTGCGGTAATTTCAGTCCAAGCCTGGCCACAAAATGCTCGCCTGGGGTGGAAGAGGGCTGCTGCCTGGGCTACTCCGTGGTCCACTTCCAGGAGCCCCATGGACACCCCTATCCTCAGCACGGCCAACACACACACTTCCAGCTCTGGGGACCGCGGTGGACCTGAGCCCCAAGCTAGGGGGAAGCCAGGCCACAGACCACGCCAGATGGCTCCTGTCTGACTCCACAGCTGCCTTGTGCCATGTGCCACTTGGTGCCCGTGCCAGTCCCTTTCTCCTGGGCCTGCGATCCAGAACAGACAATGGCAGGAACAATAGCTCCGCCCACCCCCTCCACAACGCTGCCATGAGGCTGCCATGGCGACGCAGCCCAGATAAAAACTCCATGCTGCCAGTCACTAGGAGTTAATTAAATCTGTTGTTCTCCTTTTCCTGAGCCCACAGGAATTTTCAGGAATGCTCTGAGGAAGTTGGCACTAACTAGGAGGCTCCTTGGCCTGCAAAGCAAAAACAGCCCTGGGTCAGAAAAGGCACTTCTGGGGCTGGAGGTGATGTTTAGCTGAATTAGAAATAGACATACCTGCCAAGGACTGTCTAGGCCTTGTTCTCGGCCCTTGCCACATAGACGCGTGTGATCTTCCACACCACCTTCTCACGGGGTGGGGGGGGGTGTCCATTTGATAGCTGAGGAGACTGGCGCAGAGAAGGAAATGGACTTGCCCCAGGTCACACAGATCTTGAGGGGGGCGGGGGGCGCGCAGCGGCTATGATTTAGCCGGAGTCTGAATCCAAGGCCTGTGTCAAAACTCTTTCCCCTCTGTGACAACTGTGCTGTACGTGAAAAGCCTGGTGCACGTGAGCACCAGTACAGAAGGCCTTGGCAGCCACAGGGACACTGGGCAAACTGGTGAGCTTGTAGCCAAAACGTGCCTTCCTGTTCCTTCCCACCAAGGCCCTGGCCCTTCTGGCTACCAGCTCAAGGGCGGGAAAAGGCTACAGGGTGGAGAAAAAACAGGATGGCAGCTCCAGGGTTAACTAGGAACAAAGGACAGAGACCGCCTGGCCCAGCGCACTGGCCCGCTGGGCGGTAGGGCAGCCTGTGTCCGGCCACACCCAAGGCCAGCTGTGTGCCCCAGGGGTCCCTCAGCCAGGAGGCAGGAACCCTTGCTGCATTTTACAGACTAAGCCACTGTGTGTCCAAGAGAGGACGTCTCACAGCTGAGCTGGCCCCCTGACCCCACACTGGCACCAACACTCAGTCTGAATGGGCGGGACCCTGTCTGAGACCTGCATCCGGCCTAGTATCTGGCCCCATAGGCGTCACTCAGTCCGTACCATCTAACCCACAGTAGGTGGTCAATCCATCATCATGACATTTGTCCAGGCCTTCCCACGTTCGTTCCTGACCAGGCCAAGCTGCTCAAGGACTCCCCGAGGAGCTGTCCCTTTGCTCCTTGGGCCTGTCACGCTTCCGGCAGACGTTGCTGCAGCCTCTTTACACAGCCACTCACCTTCCCCAGCCCCTCCAGACTGTTCACAGCAAACGCCTGCTCTGTGTCTGACTCCGGCTCTGCTGGGCGTGGCGCCTTCAGACGGACGCATCCTTAAGCCTGCCATTTTATGTTTGTTCCTTCTTTCTTTTCTTACCTTCTTGTGGGTTATTTGAGCATGGTTTAGGATTCCATCCTGATGTATCTGTGGAGTTAGTGAGCACGTTGCCTCATGCCATTTCTAAGGCCACGTGCTTGCTGGGAGCACAGCAGGGGGGTGACAGCGAGGCCCTGGGCAGTGAGTTTCCTAAAGGCCGTGTCACTTAGCCCCCTCCTCAGTGACCAGGGTGGAGAGTGAGCTCATCCGTGCGAAAGGCTTGGAGAGGCTCAGCAAACATGAGTGCTGCTGAGCTGGGGATGCAGAGATGCGTGTCCCCAAGGCACTCCCCGCCCAAGGCTGGGTACCACAGGTCGTCTCGCAATCATCCTGAGAACTGTGTTAGCATCTGTCCCATATCACAGAGGAGAACACTTGGCTCAAAGAGGTTAAATGACGCTCAAGGTCCCCTAGGCCTCTCATTCTGGCCCTACCGTGCCTCTGCCGGCACCTACCGCACAGCCTCTCCGCGTGAAGAATCCCAGCTCCCCAACCTCAGAAGCCAAAGATCTGCCGGGTCCCTTAGTTCAGCCAAGGGCCCACCAGTCACTCCGTCCACCAAGTCCTGTTTTTACACTCAGTGTCGTGTGAAAACACTACCACCTCACCTGACCGCTTCCTTCGGTCCCCTGTCACTGCGCGGACCGGGGCGCCAGCACAGCCCCGCTAGGCCCCTGTCACTGTGGTCGCCGCCCCCGCCCCCTCCCCTGCCCCTGCCATGGCTGCCTGCCCAGCCCGCCGACGCTCCAACTGCCCGCTTTCCCCAGGCCCTTCTGGCCCCAGCCCTCCAGGGACGCCCCGCTGCCCGGGGAGCCAGCCCAGCTCTCTAACTCAGCGCGGGGGGAGCCTCTCGAGCTGGAGTGAGGTCAGAGCCACGTGGAGGGCTTGTTAAGACAGAGTTCTGGGCTCCGCTCCCAGGTCTGGGCTGGAGCCTGAGAGTTTGCACTGCTGACGGATTCCCAGCCCGTGCTGCTGTTGCTGGTCCAGGAGGCAGACGCTGAGCGCCGCTGACCTAGATCACGGCCTCTGAGACGAGCTCCTGCCGAGGCCCCGTCAGGCTCCGCGGTTCCGTCCCGCCTCGAGTTCCGCTTCCTTTCCCGTGGGGACTGCCACACAGCCTCGCTGCTCCTGCCCCAGCACTCAGTCCTCGGCCTCACAGCCTCACCTGTCACTTGCCTGGACAAGCCAGCCCTGAGCCGCCTCCCTCCCCTCGGGCTGGAGGGGAAGCCCGATGATGTCAGTTCTGCAGCGCCCAGCACCAGGGGCTGCGTCTGTCTTGATCGCCTGGCACACAGTAGCTCAAAAACCACTTGTTGAAGAGTGACTGGAGGTGTCTGGTTACCTATTTCGTCTTTTAGCTGTAGGGACAAGGAACACCTCAAGAGCTGGGTCTGATCCAATTCATTCCTGGGAAATGCTGGCCGTTCATCAGAATATCACAGAGGGAAGCCACCACCCAGCTCCAGGCCCTGGCAGGGTGTTTCGTACACGTGATCTCAGCCAAAGGCCGAGGTGCGATGGCAGGGTGCCCTGGAAGCAAGCTGAGGACCATACGTCTGTGTGGACAAAAGGAAAGGCTCCATGCGACCACTGGCCAGGGTCCGCGGTGTGGGCACAGGACGCCCCACGCAGCCGGGGTGCTGGGTCATGAGGCTCCCTGCACGTGAGGCCAGAGCTGCTGGTCAAGTGAAGTGACAGGGACCCAGACTGGGGGACAGGAGGGAGGGAGGAGCGTGTGCAGAGCAGTGGGGGCGGGGGAGAAGGTGGCTGCAGGGGTGGGGAGGTAGAAGAGCGTAATCAGGGGAGAGATGGTGATGGAAGGAGACTTGACTTTGGGTGGTGAACACACGGTACAACAGATGATGTATTATAGAATTGTGCATGTGAAACCTATAATTTTATTAACCAATGTCACCCCAATAAATTCAGTTAAAAACAGAAAATTTGCCCTGGCTGCTGTGGCTCAGTGGATCGCGTGCCGGCCTGTGAACCAGGGG